AGCAAATGAGTTAGGGTGGGGGGGGGGAGAGTGAGCGATAGAGGGAGGGGGAGATGGAGTGAGCAGGGGTGGGGCCCTGGAGAAAGCATGGGGTAGGGTCAGGGCAACGGTGCTCGGTTTTGTGCGATAGAAAGTTGGCAACCCTAACTCGCAACCTTCCTGCTCTGATCCCCAGGAACTTCTCCCTTGGTATGAGCGGTGTTATGTTAACTCATCTCCCACCATTAACACCATTAATGAGCACTGCAGACAAGTTAACGCACTTCCTGCAGGCATTGGATTAAAGATAATATGCTCTGAGTGATGTGCAACTACTGAGCATGGCATTACATTCATAAGTGAGGTGACTTTGATACAGCAAAACATGACATGCCCGAGACGTGAAGTGTCAAGCCAGGGGTTTGATAGGGAAGTGGTTTTTTAAAAGAAAAATCACCACCAACAACACAGTATAAAATGGTTCTAGTAACCATGCTGTTTTTAGTTCTATGTATTAAGAAGAGAGGTTTTCCTTTGAAATGAGAAGGTATAATACAATTTGTTGCCTTTTCAGAAGCATTTTTTTTCTTTCAGATGCAATATACTTTCTGCAGAAAGTGTTTATTGCCACAAAGATGGGAAAGATTTCTTGTATGAGATTAATTACATACAGGAGTGGATGTTCGGTTCTTTCCACCAATTCTCCCTTCAAGGCCTGTTTAAATGGGCCAGGAAGTAGGTGGAAGGTTGGCATTCAATTGACTTGCGGATCACATAGCACAGTCATTAAGAGCAGCTCATTTAGCCTAAAGATTGGACATGCAGAAGCACCGTAATGAAAACCACCTGTTGAGTGCTTGACTTGGTAGGTTAATTGCTCTGACGCTTTGAAAATGAAAAGTATGGCTGAATAATAAAAACCAAATTACTCTGTTAGGGCATTTGATGGAAAGATCAAGACCCAAGAACTTTAGCCATATTTAACCGGGTGACGTTTATTTAATTATAGTATGCACTGAAAGTAAGATTAATAGTTAAGTGTTAAAGCTACGGGACCAAATTTGCTGGTGATGTAAATTGGCCTTCCTCCATTGATCTCAATAGCCAGTTTACACCAGCAGACAATTTGGCCCAAAGGCGCTGATTAAACATGTTTATATCCTCAGTAGTGATTACTAGAAACACCGGCAATATTTGGCAGACTATTACTAGCCTGAAAAACTGAGGAGAAAAAATAACAAAAGGGAATGATGATGTCCATGATATTGTGAATGCATAATAGGAAAGCTTCTTTTTTTGTAAAACTCCTTCTTTTAGTGAATTTAGTATAGTCATACAATATGTTGCATTTTCCTATCAACTTAAAGTGACAGAGAAGCATTCAATTATCACTCTACTCACTCAAAATTGCAGCAAGAATTATGTGAGGTACTATACCTATTTGAAATAATCAAGTTTTGTTTTATTAAGTAGTGTTACTAAACTACAATGATTTTATAGGCACTAAAATCTAACAGTCAGAAGTCATAAATAGTATTGTTTTAGATAAATATGTTTCTTTCATTACTAATTAGTAGTGAAGTTGAGTCTCTGTGTTATGTCTCTCTACCGCACACACACCTTTTGTTTGTATTATTTAAGATTGTAGGGTATTGCAGAACTTTTATTTTTATCAGTTGGCTTAGGCCTCAGTGCCATGGGACCCTCAAATGAACCAAAAAGTATATAGCTAATGACCGGAATATATTACTGTATTGCTCTAAAATGTTTAGTAATGAAAGCTACATGTACCCAGTTTACTATGTATATACAGGCTGCACTGACTACCTAGAGTTAAGCAATTGGAACTCAAGGTCGTATTCTGGGGGTGTTATACAAAAACTTCAAATCAATAGCTGTCAAACTGTCATCAACTGTTGGTCTACTGATGGTCTATTGATGGTCCTCAGAGTGTTTGCTGGCTATGCATGTGAAACTGGCTGTTCCTCTTTGCTTAAAGCGTTACTATTGAGGATTATGCTCTTCTTTGGAATGTTAAAAATCAATGGTTATAACCTATTTAGGAAAGTTTGAGTGAGCAAAAGGGGAGGGGGAGTGGCATTCTACATCAAAAATGGCATTACCTGTTTCCTAGTCACTGATAACTCAGAATAAAATGATCTTGTATGATTATGGATCAATGTCCTGACAGATAAAGCACAAGAAGGGTTACTAGCTGGTGTTAGCTATAGACCTCCAAATCACACAACAGAATAGGAACACTGCTTCCTTACACAACTACCCACAATAGCAGTAGGGGAAAAAATCCTGCATGATCAGGGGGACTTCAATTTGAGTGACATATGCTGGCAGTCTCATGCTACTAGTACTAAAATATTCTTGGAATTTCTAAAGATTATAGATGACAATTTCTAACTTTAAAAGTGTTGCAGCTATATTAGACCTTTCCCTACCAAATAAAGAGGACCAGATCACAGAACTAAAAGTTAATGGTATCTTGGGTGCAAGTGACCATGACATGTTCACATTTATAATGTGCAAACAGATTAAAGTTCAGATCAGTAATATATATACTTGGTGCTTTAACAGAGCCAATTTCACAAAGCTGAAAACAAATATAAGTCAAATCAGCTGGGAGGAAGTATTTAATCAGAAAAATTTGAATGATAATTGGGAATTATTTAAGAACACCTTATTAGATGTCCAAAAAACCACAATCCCACAACTGAGGAAGAAGTTTGAACTAGTTAAAAAACAGCCTGGTTTAGAGGGAAAGTGAAGGCAGTTGTAAAAAAATAATATATAACAGATAAAAGAGAGGGGAATTTGATAGTAATGAGTATAAATCAGAAGTTAGGAATTGTAGAAAATTGATAAGGGAAGCCAAGGGACACAAGGAAAAATCTATGGCCAGCAGACTTAAGGACAATAAGATGGAGCTTTTAAAATATATTAGGAACCAAAAAAATCCTGGCAACTGTATTGGTCCATTATTAGAGGGAAATGGTAGAATTATCAATAATAATGCAGAACTGACTTTCAGAAGAAAGAGAGAGAGGATGAAAGAATGGGCAAAGTTGGGAAAGATGACAAGGGAAATCTATCCCTCAGTCTCTTCCATCCTCTCAATCTCTCCTATTTAAATCCATTCTCTCCTCTCTGGAATTTTTGTCCCCTCTTCCCCTATTTTATAATAGGAAGGAAGATAAAGTGGATTGAAAAGGGTTTGGAGGGAGAGAGCACTCTACAGCTTTACACAAGGAGAAGAGCAAGCAACTTGCTCTCCATTTCTATAATACAGAATGAAAGTACATAGGGATGGTGTGGGGTTTTCCATCTCCTCTCCCTTGGTGCGGGCAGGGGTACCAATGTTATGGGGAGTAGTGAAAGAAGAGTTGTCATATACCACCACAACACTAAGACCCTTGCCCATACCAAGCAAGAGGAGCTGAAAGGCTCTGCACCATCACAAGATGATGCAGTTCAAAAAAAGAAAATGCCATTCTGGGTGCATTAAACAGAAGTGTCAACTGTAAGACACAGGAGGTAATTGTTCCATTCTACTTGGCACTGGTGAGGCCTCAGCTGGAGTACTGTGTCAAGTTTTGCGCATCATGCGTTAGAAAAATGTGGACAAATTGGAGACAGCCCAGAGGAAAGCAACAAAAATTATAAAAGGGTTTAGAAAACCTGACCTATGAGGAAAGGTTAAAAAAGTGGCCATATTAGTCTGGAGAAAATAAGTCTGAGTAGGAACCTGATAAGTCTTCAAATATGTTAAGGGCTGTTATAAAGAGGACAGTGATCAACTGTTCTCCATGTCCACTGCAGATAGCACAAGAAGTAATGGCTTAATCTTTAGCAAGGGAGTTTCAGGTTAGATATTAGGAAAAACTTCCTAACTATAAGGGTAGTTAAGTACTGGAATAGCTTACCTAGGGATGTTGTAGAATATCCATCACTGGGGTTTTTTTAAGAACAGGCTAGACAAAATATTTGTCAGGGATGGTCTAGGTTTACTTGCTCCTGCCTCAGTGTGGGGGGATGGACGAGGTGAGCTGTCGAGGTCCCTTACAGCTGTACATTTCTATTATTCTGTGATCAATTACACACATTTGTGCAAATCTGAATGTGATTTTTGTCAGCTGGTGTTGTCAAATATTAATCTGATATACACACACACATATGCTATGCTAGTTTATATTAATAATAATATTTGTTTGAGTATTAGGCCATAGTGCCATTGGGTAGTTTTAGTTATCTTTGTGTAAAACGGATTCAGAAGCCTTCCGGCACAAGCACAAAATAAACAAAAAAATATTATTATGAGTTGCTGTTTTATGTATCTCAATGTAAAACAATTTTTAGTGAACAAGATTGATGCATTAATGTTCTCTCAAAATGAGAGAGAGAGAAGCAAACATTGGTGTAAAATGAAAAATAAAAAGAGAGGATGAAAGCAACAGATTACCATTCCTAAGGAATACCAGCTGTTTCACATTGTGCTTTGATAATATTTTTATTCTAGGTTACACTATTCAGGAGGGTGAAGAGCCCTTACTATTGAAGATGCTCTTTCCAACCCCAACAGATTTCTTTAGGCTTTTGAAAACCTCCAAACTTTTCAAAGTTTGTAAGAAAGGGCGTGGGGTTGAGGAGGAGGTTAAAAACATTTTTCTGAAAAAATAAAATAAAACTCACTCCTAAGAGAAAAGAACAATCCCTCCACAAATTTTAGTAGGCTTAGATTCTTTCAATCCAGGAATGGTACAGAATGTACCTAAGATCGGCATCCTTCCAGCTCTAAAATCATCTAAGATGACCAACTGTTTCTAATTTGTTCCCCTCTATGTTGTTTCCTTACCTCGTTCACAACCATTCTCATTACTTGCTCATCTGAAACAATGACATAGGAAGTACAAGAGGTGTTAATCATTGGTGTTAATGAGGAGAATATTTTGCTACAGAAAGCGAATGACAAAGTTGGGAAAAAATTGATTCTCCTTACCGTTGTCTTGTAGGAATGTCAGCTCCGCTGGAGAGGAGGCCCGCAGAAGAATGAGGGAGTGTGATGGACTTACTGATGCATTGCTGTACGTGATTCAGTCTGCTCTTGGGAGCAGTGAAATTGATAGCAAGGTTTGTCATCTTTGTCTTTTTAAAAATGGAAAAGCAAGGAATAAAAAAGGAGATTTAAAAATATATTTGGTGATTGCACTGGGTACATGAGCAGGGCAGAATTTGGCCCTTAATCTCTTTGACTTTCTTTTGAGCAGTGTTTCCATATACTCTATATGACTGCTCTGGAATTGTATTTGCATATGTACTGTATAGTGTGTTCTCTTTTTTTCTCTCTCTCTCTCTCTCCTCTTTTGTTAAATTATTAGGAAAAAATAAATGAAACTGGCTTGAGAAAGGCACCAATGCATCAAGCTCTGTGCAAACTCCCACACACAAATCAGCAAATTTATCTGTGCCATCTGTTTATGAGCTACACTAACAGCTATGCACTGGTTTTTATGAGGTGGACCATGAGGAAGTACAGTGGTTGCCATTACAAGTCAACATTTGCAAACAGACACAACACAGTTAGCAGTGTTTTTTCATATTCTAAATAGAAAGTGAACTGTGGATACACCTATGTGATAGATATTTGTGAGTGGTATTTTTTTTTTAATACCAGCCACTATAGGCTGGCACCAAAATACTAGGGTTGTCAATTAATCGCAGTTAACTCATGCGATTAACTCAAAAAAATTAATTGTGATTAATCACAGTTTTAATCTCACTGTTAAACAATAGAATACCAATTGAAATGTATTAAATATTTTTGGATATTTTTCTACATTTTCAAAAATATTCAATTACAACACAGAATACAAAGTATACAGTGCTCACTTTATATTACTATTTTTATTACAAATGTTTGCACTGTAAAAATGATAAACTAAAGAAATTGTATTTTCAATTCACCTCATATGAGTACTGTACTATAATCTCTTTATCATGAAAATGCAACTTACAAATGTAGATTTTATTTTTGTTACAGAACTGCACTCAAAAACAAAACTGTGTAAAACTTTAGAGCCTACAAGTCCACTCAGCCCTACTTCTTGTTCAGCCAATCGCTCAGACAAACAAGTTTGTTTACGTTTATGGGAGATAATGCTTCCCGCTTCTTAATTATAGTGTTACCTGAAAGTGAGAACAGGCGTTCGCATGGCACTTTTGTAGCCAGCATTGCAAGGTATTTACATGCCAGATATGCTAAACATTCATATGCCCCTTCACGGTTCGGCCACCATTCCAGAGGACATGCTCCATGCTGACAACGCTCGTTAAAATAATGCATTAATTAATTTGTTACTGAACTCGTTGGAGGAAAATTGTATGTCTCTTGCTCTGTTTTACTCGCATTCTGCCATATATTTCATGTTATAGCAATCTCGGATGATGACCCAGCACATGTTGTTAGTTTTAAGAACACTTTCATTGCAAATCTGACAAAATGCAAAAAAGGTACCAATGTCAAATTTCTAAAGATAACTACAGCATTCAACCCAAGGTTTAAGAAATCTGAGCAGGATGAGGTATGGAGCACGCTTTCAGAAGTCTTAAAAGAGCAACACTCTGATGCAGAAACTACAGAACCCGAACCACCAAAAAAGAAAGTAAACCTTCTGCTGGCAGCATAGAATCATAGAATCATAGAATATCAGAGTTGGAAGGGACCTCAAGAGGTCATCTAGTCAACCCCCTGCTCAAAGCAGGACCAATTCCCAGCTAAATCATCCCAGCCAGGGCTTTGTCAAGCCGACTCAGATTATGAAAATGAACATGCATTGATCCATACTGCTTTGGATCATTATCAATCAGCAGCAGCAGCATGGGCACATGTCCTCTGGAATGGTGGTTGAAGCATGAAGAGACATATGAAACTTTAGCGCATGTAGCATGTACATATCTTGTGACGCTGGCTACAACAGTGCTATGCGAACACCTGTTCTCATTTTCAGGTGACACTGTAAACAAGAAGTGGGTGGCATTATCTCCTGCAAATGTAAACACACCTGTTTGTGTGAGTGATTGGCTGAACAAGAATTAGGACTGAGTGGATGTATAGGCTCTAAAGTTTTACATTGTTTTATTTTTGAATGCAGATTTTTTTGTACATAATTCTACATTTGTAAGTTCAACTTTCATGATAAAGAGATTGCACTGCAGCACTTGTAATGAGGGAACTGAAAATATTATTTATTTTTGTTTTTTACAGTGCAAATTTTTGTAATAAAATAAATATAAAGTGAGCACTGTACACTTTGTATTCAGTGTTGTAATTGAAATCAATATATTTGAAAATGTAGAAAACATCAAAAATATTTAAATAAATGGTATTCTATTATTGTTTAACAGCGTGATTAATCGCAATAAATTTTTTAATTGCTTGTCAACCCTACAAAATACTTGTTTCACTTTATATGTACAGTAACTAGGAGATGATCGCAATTCTTCAGAGATGAAAGGTACGACTTAATAATTAAAAGAACTCCAAATAATTGCCAATTAAAAATTGTGATTGTGAAATCAGTATTACAGAGAAGGGAAGTGTTTTAAATTCTGTGACATGTTACTGATTATTTCACATTTCAGCACCGTGGTTGCAAGCACTAACACAGAAATGCCAATTGTATCTAATATTAGTTTCAAGTACATTTCACAGTTCATGCATGCTGTGAAGTGCTTATAACTGTACCTTTTGAATTTTCAGATTGCTAATCTGAGCAAAGTGCATGGACTTTTCCTATAGATTCAGTAGAGAAATATGGAATCTATGAAAGAAACTATGTTCCATGCAATCTTCTATGCATGCTTGTGGTAATCTACAATCAACTTACCATTAGTAAACGTTTTTATGGAAGTGATTAGTGAAGAAGCCCATCCACTAGCATCACCATCTGAAAAAGGCTCAAGAGAAAACTAGCAGCTGTGCAGTACTTGTGTAGTATCATTTTAATAATAAATAATAAATCCACCAGGGTAATTGAAGGGGGAGTCCTTCCTTCCAAAGGCCACTAAGCAGGAGTAGAGCCATTCTGTATCCTATATTACCAGCCAAAGGATGACAGTAAATTCTGCCGTCCTAGAGCCTACCTCTATGGAAAGGAAGGGCCAGGGAACCTGCAGAACTTCAGCCACACTCCTGCCCCCAAACCTCCATGTATGACAGTGTGTAACAAACCCTCATGGAACTGGGCCCATTGCTACTCAGTTGGTATGCATCCTCTGCAAAGAACTGATTAAGAAAAACAATGGATATAGTCTACATTTCAATAATGGCACAAAGTAGCTGCTAGTAGTACTAATTGTATCCCTAATTACACTGTTTATACCACCCTCCCATGTACACCTCCATGGAGGTGGAGCCAAGATTTAGATTTTTGTATATACTGATTTATTTAAAGAGCATTTCAGTTTCCTTTGAAAGGTAAGCAGGTTAACCATGTTTTCAGTCCCCAAGAAACGAAAGGCATATGTTTTTCTTACTAGGCACAGGCAAACCAAATTAGAGAAAATAAGAACTAGCCTTCAACCAAAGTCCAAATCAGATTGGGTGAGGCCTTGGAGGATTTTCACCTTCCTCTGCAGCGTGGGGCATGGGTCACTTGCTGGAGGATTCTCTGCACCTTGAGGTCTTTAAATCACGATTTGAGGACTTCAATAACTCAGACATAGGTTAGGGCAGGGGTCGGCAACGTTCGGCACGCAGCTCGCCAGGGTAAGCACCATAGCGGGCCGGGCCAGTTTATTTACCTGCTGACGCGGCAGGTTTGGCCGATCGCGGCCTCCACTGGCCACGGTTCGCCGTTCCGGGCCAATGGGGGCGGCGGGAAGCGGCGCGGGCCGAGGGATGTGCTGGCCACGGCTTCCCACCGCCCCCATTGGCCCAGAACGGCGAACCGTGGCCAGTGGGGGCCATGATCGGCCGAACCTGCCACGTCAGCAGGTAAATAAACTGGCCCGGCCCGCTAGGGTGCTTACCCTGGTGAGCCGCGTGCCGAACGTTGCCGACCCCTGGGCTAGGAGTTTGTTACAGGAGTGGGTGGGTGAGATTCTGTGGCCTGCATTGTGCAGGAAGTTAGACTAGATGATCATAATGTCCCTTCTGATCTTAAAGTCTATGAGTCTAAATTTGTTTTTGAGATTTGAAGTTCTGTTAAATTTTCCCCATCATTTTTTTTCTATAATGGGCCCTACTCCATTTCCAGGTTCCATCTAGGATCATACACAGAAAGGCCAAAATACCATGAGAGAGAGGGGCTATTCCTAAAGTATTTTCAACTTGAGTGGAAGCAGGAAAAACATTGCAGACTCCAGAGGGATAGATCGTTTATAAGCATATTAAATTATGGGTACTCTTGCAAACCAAAACTCAGAACCACTTAAGGTTTTCTCACTACTGCTTCTCATAGAATGACACAAGAAATAAATGCTGTTAGAAATAATAGCATCATTTTTCTTTTTACTAGGTGGGGCTGAAATCAGTGTGCATTCTGTGCTTGTGTAGATCTTGTTTACCATATTTTTGCCTCTGCTACTCTCTCATGTTGAATTCAGCATGAAATTCAGAACCAGAGTAACAATGTTATTTTAAAACATTGTCCAGAGCTCTATTCCTCACTAAAAAGATCCTGCCAAGTTTTCTAAACCTTTCAAACAGTGATTGTCTAGGGAGTGCTTAGAAACAAACAGAAAAGAATATCTTTGTACAAATGTAGGGTTACCATTCGTCCGGATTCACCCGGACATGTCATCCTTTTTGTGCTAAAAATATCGTTCGGGGGGAATTTGTAAAGCACTCAAAATGTCCGGGATTTCCCCCCTCCCCCGGCAGAGCAGAGTGAGAGGCTGGGAGGGCTGCAGGAAAGTCCCGGGCTGGACTCAGGAGCAGCTGTAGAGGAGCTCCGCCCTGCATTCTGAGCAAGTGTATCAGCACAAAGTGCAGCCCTCCCCTTTTGCAACTGGGAGCGGTTTCTGCCATGCAGCGTAGCAAAATGGGAGCAAGAGCACTTTGTGCTGATACAAGGGCAGCTCTCCCCTGCAGCCCGGTCCGGCAGCACTGTGCAGGGCCAGGGACCGGGTTTTGTTGTGCTGGGGAGCGCAGCCACGTGTCCGGCTGGCACAGAGCCC